ATTCCACATATAGCCATGGTTAGTGCGAGAAATAAATAATTTAAATGACACATTTGTGGGGAAAAAATTTTTTTGTCATTTTCCAGACAGAAACTTGTGGGAAAAAAAAGTCTTCCATGGACTCAATGGGGTTTATTTACTAAAGCTGGAGAGTCCAAAATCAGACTCCCTTCTGCATAGAAACCAATCAGCTTCTAACCTCAGCTTGTTCAATGAAGCTTTGGCAATGAAACCTGGAAGCTGATTGGTTTCTATGCAGAAGGGAGTCTGATTTTGGACTCTCCAGCTTTAGCAAATAAACCCCAATATGCCTCTGAGCAGATAGCTTAGGCCCTAAGGGTGTCTACTTTCCAAAAAGGGGTACTTTGGGGGTGTTTGTACTATCCTGGTATTTTAGCACCTCAAGAAATGTGGTAAGCAGTCAGAAAGCAAAAGCTGTGTAAATTCCATTATCTATACCATAGTTTGTAGATGCTATACCAAAAACATGTAGCAGAATACATTTTGGCTTAAATTTATGACGAAATTGTAGGTTTTTTGTTTATTTTGTATGACCAAAATGAGAAAATATCATTTTTTAAAAAAAAAAAAAATTATCTTCAAATTGTTTGTTTATAGCGCCAAAAATAGAAAGTGCACCGGTGATCAAATACCACCAAAAGAAAGCTCTATTTGTGTGAAAAAAAGGACATAAATTTCATTTATGTACAGGGGCGGACTGACAACTCATGGGGCCCCCGGGCAATAGGGGATCATGGGGCCCCTGTGTCCTTGCCAACAGCCAAAAAAGCCTATGAAAAAGCTAATGAAAGGTACCAGGGCATCTCATGGGGCCCCCTACTGACCCCAGGCCCTCGGGCAGTGCTCGAATGGTCAGTTCGCCCGTTTATGTACCATATTGCATGACCGCGCAATTGTCCGTTAAACTAGCGCAGCGCTGTATAGCAGAAAAATGGCGTAAATTGCAATATCTATACCAGTTTGTAGATGCTATAACTTTCACACAAAGCAATCAATATACACTTATTGGGATTTTTTTACCAAAAAACATGTAGCAGAATACATTTTGGTCTAAATTTATAACTAAGTTTAAATTTACTATATATTTTTTATAGCCGAAAGTAAAAAAATATTGTTTTTCTTAAAAATTTTCTGTGTTTTTTTTGTTTATAGCATGAAAAATAAAAAGCGCATAGGTGATCAAATACCACCAAAAGAAAGCTCTATTTGTGTGACGAAAAGGATGTAAATTTCGTTTGGGTGCAGCATTGCATGACCGCGCAATTATCAGTTGAATTAGTGCAGCGCCGAGTACCAAAAAGAGGCCTGGTCAGGAAGGGGGGGGGGGGGGGTGTAATGGAGGCCATAGACGGGTCGCTTATCGGACGAATTTTCATCCGCACGAAAAATGGGCCGATATTCATGCCGTTGGTGGGGCAATACCATTGGCCGCTTTTCACGGATCTTCTCGTTTACTTTTATCGGTCATGCTGGAAAATCCACAAAAAACGGCGACATTGGTGGCAGCACCGTTGCCAGCAACGACCGATTTTTTGTTTATAGGCCAAAATTCGGCCGATAAACGACCCGTCTATGGCCTGCCTAAATCCTCTGGAGGGCAAGTGGTTAAATCAGGGGTGGACTGACAACTCATGGGGCCCCCCGGGCAATAGGGGATCATGGGGCCCTTGTGTCCTTGCCAAAACTAAGAAAAGTCTATGAAAAAGGTACCAGGCATCTCATGGGGCCCCCTACTGACCCCGGGCCCTCGGGCACTGCCCAAGTTTCCAAATGGTCAGTCCGCCTCTGGGTTAAATACATCTCTAGTTGTAAGACAGACACTCCCCACCAGGGGCGGACTGACCATTTGGAAACTCGGGCACTGCCTGAGGGCCCGGGGTTAGTAGGGGGCCCCATAAGATGCCCCTGGTACCTTTTTTATAGGCTTTTTTGAGTCTGGCCAAGGACAGAGGGGCCCCATGATCCCCTGTTGCCCGGGGGCCCCATGAGTTGTCAGTCCGCCCCTGCTCCCCACTTTACAAATAGATCTTCCCATAACCCCACTGTATAAAAAGCGGCAGCAATTTTCTGAAGGAATGTTGGCACCCCGTGCTAAATCCACATATTGGGAAGCCGGTGCCATTGAGAGGATGTCAGGGTGGGCGGCTTGTCAGCTGGACACGTTGGATCTTGTGTTGGTCGTGCACAGCGCTCAGACAGGCAAGCATTACTGTTCGGCAGGCTCTGTCAGCCAGCACCGAGCCCCGGCACGTCACCGGAAGCTGATAGGTCGCTCAGAGGGCCAGCTGATTTAGAAGAACACGGCTTCGGAGCGGTTGCCGTAGTAACAGGAGCAAAGGAGGTGGGCTGAAGCATAGCGCCGCCCTTTGACGCCATCTTATGCTGGAAGAGGCGGCTCTGGGACGGCAGAGTGGTGAGAAGTGATGCCGTGTAAAGTGGAGGGGAGTTTGTTATGGAGTGGGAGAATTCCGGAGCATTGCTGTGCAGACACCTGGGGAGGACTAGGAGTGTAGTCACGTTTTATTGGAAAGCCGGGTATAGCCAACTCTCTGGGAGATTGGGAGTAGAGCTCCAAACTGACTTGTGGGCGAGGAGCACGAATGTACTTTTGGCGCTGAGAGGGAATAGAAGAGACAGTGCAGAGAAGGAGGCTCGTCTACCGACAGTATTATGAGCGTTGTAAGTGTGAGAACTACTCCACTCCTGCTCCATCTCATCACCTGGGGGCACACGCGCCCCCTAGCGAGCAGAAGACTAACTGCAACAACTGCTTACTAATCACTCTAGAAATGGCATTTCCATTTATTTTATTTTTATCCAGAGTATGCAAAAATTGATTCTGATTAAATTGCACGGACTTGTTACATATTGCTGAACTGTGGGCAGTTTAAAAAACAAAATGCATGCAATATTATATTTATTACAGGTACGTATATAGCGCTGTCTATTTATTATTATTATACAAGAATTTATTTAGCACAACAGTTTGCACAGCGCTTTAAAATACAAAGAGACATTACAGTTACGACACAATTTGGTACAAAAGGAATCAGAAGGCCCTGCTTGTTGGAGCTTACAATCTAAGAGGCATATATATATATATATATATAATCACAGTGCAGGGGCGGACTGACAACTCATGGGGCCCCCGGGCAATAGGGGATCATGGGGCCCCTGTGTCCTTGCCCAAACTCAAAAAAGCCTATGAAAAAGGTACCAGGGGCATCTCATGGGGCCCCCTACTGACCCCGGGCAGTGCCAGAGTTCCCAAATGGCCAGTCCACCCCTGGCACAGTGGCTTAGTGGTTAGCACTTCTGCCTTGCAGTAATTGGGTCATGGGTTCAATTCCCAACCATGGCGCCTCCTGCATGTTCTCCCTGTGTTCGCGTGGGCTTCCTCCATGTACTCCGGTTTCCTCCCACACTTCAAAGACTTGCTGGTAGGTTGGCTCCTGTCTAAATTGTCCTAGTTTCATCCCTGGCCATGCGGGATCTCCTGCATGGTAGGGGTTGAGGAAAGACCTGGCAAACCTACCCTGGACTTTTTCCATGAATTCTCTTAGCAATTACAGGTGAAACTCAAAAATGTAGAATAGCATGCAAAAGTTAATTTATTTCAGTAATGCAACTTAAAAGGTGAAACTAATATATGAGATAGACTCATTACATGCAGAGCAAGATAGTTCAAGGCGTGATTTGTCACAATTGTGATGATTATGGCTTACATCTCATGAAAACCCCAAATCCACAATCTCAGAAAATTAGAATATTGTGAAAAGGTGCAATATTCTCGTCTAATCAGCTAATTAAGTCATAACACCTGCAAAGGGTTCCTGAGCCTTTAAATGGTCTCTTATGCAGGCCATAGATGGGGAGAAAAACGGCAGATTTTTCTTTTTAAAAAACGAAAAATCGGTCGTTCAAGCGGCCGACGTTACCATCAATGGTAAAAAAAATCGGCCGATTTTCATCCCGTCTAGAGCCGGCAAAAAGTGTCCCTGCAGAGAGCTCTGCTATTTGTTTGACAGTTCTCTGACAGTTCCTTGACATTTACAGAGGTTGCAACATTGTATCTATTTGTTTCCATTTAGGATACAGATGTTTTTATTCGGAAACAAATAGATACATTGTTGCAACAACGCTGTAAATGTCAAGGAACTGTCAGAGAACTGTCAAAGAAATAGCGGAGCTCTCTGCAGGGACACTTTTTGCCGTACTGGAATTCCTCTAATTTTTCATTCTTCTTCTTCTTCTTCTCCTGCTTCATCATCCTCCTCTTCTTCTTCTTCTTCTTCATCATCATCCTCTTCTTCTTTTTCATCATCATCATCTCTTCTTCTTCGTCCATCATCCTTCTTCTTCGTCCATCATCATCCTCTTCTTCTTCCTCTTCATCATCACCCTCTTCTACTTCTTCTACTTCTTCTTCCTCTTCATCATCATCATCCTCTTCTTCTTCTTCTTCTACTTCTTCTTCCTCTTCATCATCATCTTCTTCTTCTACTTCTTCTTCCTCTTCATCATCATCCTCTTCTTCTTCCTCTTCATCATCATCATCATCCTCTTCTTCTTCTCTTCTCTTCCTCTTCATCATCATCATCCTCTTCTTCTTCTTCTTCTTCTTCCTCTTCATCATCTTCATCCTCTTCTTCTTCTTCTACTACTTCTTCCTCTTCATCATCATCCTCTTCTTCTTCTTCTACTTCTTCCTCTTCATCATCTTCATCCTCTTCTTCTACTTCTTCCTCTTCATCATCATCCTCTTCTTCTACTTCTTCCTCTTCTTCATCATCATCATCCTCTTCTTCTGCTTCTACTTCTTCCTCTTCATCATCTTCATCCTTTTCTTCTATTTCTTCTTCCTCTTCATCATCTTCATCCTCTTCTACTTCTTCCTCTTCATCATCATCATCCTCTCTTCTTCTTCTTCTACTTCTTCTTCCTCTTCATCATCATCATCCTCTTCTTCTTCTACTTCTTCCTCTTCATCATCATCATCATCCTCTTCTTCTTCTTCTTCTACTTCTTCTTCCTCTTCATCATCTTCATCCTCTTCTTCTTCTTCTACTTCTTCTTCCTCTTCATCATCATCCTCTTCTTCTTCTTCTTCTTCCTCTTCATCATCTTCATCCTCTTCTTCTACTTCTTCATCATCATCATCCTCTTCTTCTGCTTCTACTTCTTCTTCCTCTTCATCATCTTCATCCTTTTCTTCTACTTCTTCTTCCTCTTCATCATCTTCATCCTCTTCTTCTACTTCTTCTTCCTCATCATCATCATCCTCTTCTTCTTCTTCTACTTCTTCCTCTTCATCATCATCATCTCTTCTTCTTCTTCCTCTTCATCATCATCCTCTTCTTCTACTTCTTCTTCCTCTTCATCATCATCCTCTTCTTCTACTTCTTCTTCCTCTTCATCATCTTCATCCTCTTCTACTTCTTCCTCTTCATCATCATCATCCTCTTCTTCTTCTTCTACTTCTTCTTCCTCTTCATCATCATCCTCTTCTTCTTCTTCTACTTCTTCTTCCTCTTCATCATCATCATCCTCTTCTACTTCTTCTTCCTCTTCATCATCATCATCCTCTTCTACTTCTTCTTCATCATCTTCATCCTCTTCTTCTTTTTCTTCTTTTTGTCTTCCTCTTGCAGGTCACTGCTCATGCGCAGATTTTTTATCGGTAAAAAATCGGCCGATTTGCCCATTATTGCCGCAAAAATCGGCCAATCGGCAAAATCGGCCGATTTTTTTCCAACTTTACCGAAAAAAAAAAAACGGCCAAAATACCAAAAAACGGCCGACCAAATCTCCCACTAATGATCTGAAAATCGGCCGATTTTATTTTCGGCCGAAAAATCGGCCGATTTTCGACCCATCTATGGCCTGCATTAGTCTGGTTCAGTAGAAATCACAATCATGGGAAAGACTGCTGACCTGACAGTTGTGCAGAAAACTATCGACACCCTCCACAAGGAGGGAAAGCCTCAAAAGGTAATTGCAAAAGAAGTTGGATGTTCCCAAAGTGCTGTATCAAAGCACATTAATAGAAAGTTATGTGGAAGGGAAAAGTGTGGAAGAAAAAGGTGCACAAGCAGCAGGGATGACCGCGGCCTGGAGAGGATTGTCAGGAAAAGGCCATTCAAAAGTGTTGGGGACTGTCACAAGGAGTGGACTGAGGCTGGAGTCAGTGCATCAAGAGCCACCACACACAGATGGATCCTGGACATGGGCTTCAAATGTCGTATTCCTCTTGTCAAGCTGCTCCTGAACAACAAACAACGTCAGAAGCGTCTTACCTGGGCTAAAGAAAAAAAAACAGACCTGGTCTGTTGCTCAGTGGTCCAAAGTCCTCTTTTCTGATGAGAGCAACTTTTGCATCTCATTTGGAAACCAAGGACCCAGAGTATGGAGGAAGAATGGAGAGGCACACACTGCAAGATGCTTGAAGTCCAGTGTGAAGTTTCCAGTCTGTGTCGATTTGGGGAGCCATGTCATCTGCTGGTGTTGGTCCACTGTGCTTCATTAAGTCCAGGGTCAATGCAGCCGTCTACCAGGAGTTTTTTTGGAGCACTTCATGCTTCCTTCCACAGACGAGCTTTATGGGGATGCTGACTTCATTTTCCAGCAGGACTTGGCACCTGCCCACACTGCCAAAAGCACCAAAACCTGGTTCAGTGACCGTGGGATTACTGTGCTTGATTGGCCAGCAAACTCGCCTGACCTGAACCCCATAGAGAATCTATGGGGCATTGCCAAGAGAAAGATGAGACATGAGACCAAACAATGTAGAAGAGCTGAAGGCCGCTATTGAAGCATCCTGGTCTTCCATAACACCTCAGCAGTGCCACAGGCTGATAGCTTCCATGCCACGCCGCATTGAGGCAGTAATTGCTGCAAAAGGGGCCCAAACCAAGTACTGAGTACATATGCATGCTTATACTTTTCAGAGGTCCGATATTGTTCTATGTACAATCCTTGTTTTATTGATTGCATGTAATATTCAAATTTTCTGAGATTGTGGATTTGGGGCTTTTCATGAGCTGTAAGCCATAATCATCACAATTATGACAAATCACGGCTTGAACTATCTTGCTTTGCATGTAATGAGTCTATCTCATATATTAGTTTCACCTTTTAAGTTGCATTACTGAAATAAATTAACTTTGGCACGATATTCTAATTTTTCGAGTTTCACCTGTAATTGCTAAGAGAATTTATGGAAAAAGTCGCTTAGTGAGGTCCCTAACTTACATACATATACATAGGGGCTAATTTAGATAGGAGACAATTAACCTACAAGCATTGTTTGGGAGGAAATAATAAAAGTATTTAAAAATATTAGAAATAATTAAAAGTATTTTAGTTACAAATAGCATATGTACCTGCATTTGACTTGATTTTAGTGTCCTGTAAACCCCCTGAACAGGAGCCCTTAGACTGAGAGAGTCAGGGGCCAATTAGTTGCAGTAACACTGGACTTTGTAAATGGATGAGAGAGCAGTGAGATGACCTGCTTAGACTATTGCTGGTCTTTCACTGACCAATCACAATCGATTTGGCTGCATTGCTGACTTCAGCAGAGGAAAGTGTAGTCAGGACTAGCTGAACAGAAATACAAATCTTTTGGCAGATAAGACTGCCATAGCTGAAATAGCTGTCATATACATCAGGTATTTTATCTATGCTTCTAGCTGTTTGCCTTTAGCTGAGCTATACCTTCATATTAGAAAAATTCCTGGAGAGGTTAGGAGTGAAGCTGTAAAGCCTCTTGCATGCAGGGCATTTTCTTTGCTTCTCTGAACACCAGAATTCCTGGCAGGAGAAGAATTGCCTAAAAATAAAATGCAACCAAAGCCACATATCGCACACACGTTTAGGCTTCATGCATTCTGGGCTTAAAGTGATTGTAAAGGAAAAAACAAAAATCTTCGCGCAGCCCTGAACATCTTTTTGGGGCCCATGCTGGTGCCCCTGGCTCCTCTCTGTTCAGTGCACCCATAGGAAGCCTCTTACTATGGGGCACTTTTGCATGCTTGCTCCTGAGCCCTGCTGCTGTGTCCATTGACACAAACAGCAGATCTCGACCCCACTCCCTCGTCACTCGCTTTGATTGACAGAATTGGGTGGCAGGAGCCTGTGGCCCCAGCAAAGCCAGTGAGACATGGAAGTGAGGGGAGAGAGAAAAGCTACAGACATGCACAGCTCTGGATTGAATGAGGCCTCAAGTAAGTATAAGGCCTCATGCACACAGGGAATTTTTGCAGTCCCTATTAGGGGCATTAGGAGGTTTTTTTTTTTTTTTTTTTGTTTTTGCTTCCAAACGGCCCTCCATGTTTTCCTTTGTGTCCATGCACACATAGACTTTTAGAAGCTTTTAGTAGAAGTAGCATTTACCAGCAGGAAAAAAGCCCCCAGGGTCAGTGCATCCAGGAGCAGCAGCGTTTCAGCAGGAAAAAAAACGCTAGATGTTGCTAAATGTTATGCGTGTTTAGTGATTGATCATGACTTAATTTCAATGGCCAGAATAAATTTATCATTCTGGCCAATGAAATTAATTAACTCCCAAGCTCTTGATGCTTGTAGATGCGCCTAAAAGCTTGTAAAAGTGTACTTTTACAAGCGTCAGGCGGCTCTTTTTTTTTTTCTTTTTTTTCTGCAAAATTGCTACTGCCAGGAGGACAGCTTCTAGGAGTTTTTTTTTTTTTTTTTTTTTTTTTTTTTTTAACGCCCTGTGTGCATGAGGCCTAAGGAAGTGGGGGTGGGGAGTGGTGAGGGGCCAAAACCAGTGCCTAAACATTTTTTACCATAATGCAAGGAATGCATTGTTTAAGCTTTAGAACCACGTCAAAGAATGCTGCTTTTACAGGCATTTCATTCAGCCTGTAAAAGCACCTCTAGGAAAGCACACTGGGCTCTTATTTTATTATTTATTTCAGGTACTTATATAGTGCTGTCAATTTACGCAGCGCTTTACATATATATATATTGCACATTTACATCAGTCCCTAACCCTCAAGGGGTGTACAATCTAAGGTCCCTAACCTACGTTCATACATACACATACTAGGGCCAATTTAGACAGGATCCAATTAACCTACCAGCATGTCTTTTGAGTGTGGAAGGAAACCAGAGAACCCAGAGGAAACCCACGCAGGCACAGGGAGAACATGCAAACTCCAGGCAGGTGGTGCCGTTGCTGGGATTCGAACCAACGACCCTAGTACTGCCAGGCGGAAGTGCTAACCATTTAGCCACTGTGCTGCCCCTCTTCTGAACACCTTTTCTCCTGGCATTTTGCAAAAGCCTTTAGGCAGATTCAGGCGTCTGCACATTCGTTTCATTGGCCAAAATATTAATTTAGTTCAGCTTCATGATATAGTGCTGTACTGCGACTGTCATGATGGGCAGCTTTTCCTTTGCTAATGCCAGCCTGGATCCACTGCAGCAGTGTCGGCAGAGTGCTGTTTAAGACAACATCCAGGACTTTAAGAATACGGAAAGATACCAACTGCTGTGATGTGCAAACACCCAGAGCTTTTGGCATGGTCTGCTTTGTACTAATGCTGAGCCCTTGCTCTGACCTCTGACTCTTCTAAGTATTGTTGTGGAATGTGCCACTTAACCTGCCCTTGCACCTTTTGGCCCATCATTATAAATGGCTGTCTTACTGACATATAGGAATAGGCCAGTGGGAGGTAGAAGGGGGTAGGCATGCTTAAGCACTGTGGGAACAAGGCTTTACCTGATCAGAAGAGTCTGGCATTTAGAAAAGGCTGAATGCTGCTGCAGATATGTGTCTTCACCTCTGTGTGCATGCACATATACCCATCAGCAGCTTTTAGTGCTTTTATAGTGACAACGTCTCTTGAAGTTCCTTAAATTCAGCCACATGCTAATCAAAAGCACCCCATGTTCTAGGATTTGGTGCTTCATTTATAACCTCTTCCCTTTCCGTAAATGACCCAAATCTTCCCATGTCTGTAGTAACATTACAAGCTTAACTAGAACTGGTAGTATTAAAGTCAGGAAGAAGACATCAGTCTTAAAGTGACAATAAACCCAAAACCAAAAAAGTAATATGTAAATCTCAAAATAAGTGAGCGCTTAAAACAGCTAATATAAAATCAATTAATAAATAAAATGAGATAAGAAAATAGCAGCTGAACACCAAAAAGGTACCATATGAACCTTCTCAATAATCAAAAATGCATACAAGGGAGAGGTGCAGCGCTAGCTGAATAAATATACACTTATATACTTGATAAATATACACTAATATAAATCAATAAAAGTGCTAATAGAGTGCAAAACGGTGACTAAATGATGAGTATAGTCCATAGCGTGCTCAAGATCCAAGAGAGTCCTTAAAGAGCTCCAATCCCTGGATTCGTGGATGAGGTGATAAAGGTAAAAATTGCGCACTCACCAGATACGCAATTGCAACCGCAAGACTTTTTCATGTCAAATATAATAGCGGACTGGAATTCTTCTTCTTTTTCTTCTTCTTGCAGGTCACGGCTCATGCGCAGTTTTTTTTTTTTATCAGTAAAACGATCAGCCGATTTGCCCATCATTGCCGGGAAAATTGGCCGATCGGCAAAATCGGCTGATTTTTTTCCAACTTTACTGATAAAAACGGCCGACCAATTTAACCCATTAACAGTGCAGAAATCGGCCGATTTTTGACTCGTCTATGGCCTGCATAACAAATTGAAACCAAACTCTAGGTCACACTGTATAAACA